TTAGTGTACCTTTTACTATTGTATCACTTCAGAAACTTTATTATTGTACCTTTTATTATTGGATCCTTTCAGAAATTTTATTAGTGTACCTTTTACTATTGTACCTTTTCAGAAATTTTATTATCGTACCTTTTATTATCAGATCCTTTCAGAAATTTTATTAGTGTACGTTTTATTATTGTAACCCGACCAGAAATTTGATTGTTGTACCTTTTAGGAATTTTATTAGTGTACTTACTTACTTACTTTCATTATTATGTCGTTTCAGAAATTTTATTACTGCATTCTTTTAGAAATTCTATTGTTGCACCTTTTATTATTGTATCCACTTGGAATTTTTATTGTACCTCCTTTTATTATTTTATCCATTTAGAACTTTTAGTATCATATACGTTTTAATTAGTTTCTTTTACATATCATATATTTAGATAATGTCTCTCAACTGCCCAATGTATTTCCAAAGCTCATTTGTCACGAAAACTTTGTACCCCCCGATCAAAAAATGATTTTGCCACCTGCCATCGAATTTCCTCCCATCCGTGGCCTATTTCCTGTTGATTTTCCAAGCTCGCGCCGGCTTTCGCGCGCGACTGTACTATTATTAAGACTTTTCCGTCCCTTTCAGTTCTATCGACCCCTAAACTTTGCACTTTCGGTGTACACCGGGCCGCCCGCGTAGCCTTCGTTTTGTTTTTGTCTTTTCTTCTTCTTTTTTTTTAAATCCGTGATCGGAAACAATAGTACGTCCCGAAGTCGTGCACGCCTACGTGAATAGCGAGGACGACTCAGTTAATGAGTGAATTCGCGACTTCTGCGCGCAAGTTTTAATTATTACTCGCGATGGAAACGACGAATCACTGTAACATGGTGATTTCTCGCTCGGGAGAAGCCATCCTTTACCTGGTGAAATAAAATCGAACAAATTCATACATTGTTCCTCACCACGGAAATACATTGGGACGTGAAAGAGAAATATTTCCTATGAAACTAGCACTAGCTAGTAAAACGAATTACAGTGGGAAGAAGAAGACGCTTTGTAGATCTCTGAGTTGCACAAATTATTGTTTTTAGATGTAATATTGTAGGCTTTTTATGAGTGTTATTGTACTAAGTACTACTCGTGGCTTCCAGAAGGTTGCCTCGTCAGTTTTCAAATTCTTCCCAAGAATTATTGTTTTTAGATTTAAGATTGTATAGACTTTTTATGAGTATTATTGTACTAAGTACTACTCGTGGCTTCCAGAAGGTTGCCGCGTCAGTTTTCAGATTCCTGCCAAGAATTATTGTTTCACAAATTATTGTTGCTTTTCTGAGTGAGTCCTAAACGCTATCATAACCAGTATTACCTGCGTGACTTCGGAAGGGGTGCGGAAATAGATCCTTTTGTTCCAGTTTTTCGCGGAGACGCGCAGTAGGTCACGTACGGTTAAAAAGGATAATTCGTCGTGGTCGTTCGCCGCGTGGACGTGGTTCCTGGGCGCTTTCGGCACGGTCCTGCTTTGACGTCACCGAATGACGTCAATTCCAGGCCCCGCCGCGTCGCCCCTCGGTTCTACCCACGCGTCGCGCTTTATCGCTCCAACGCAAGAAGACAGCAGCCGTCAACCTCCGTCACGTCAACCCTCGAAGACTCCTACGACGCCCGATACGGTTAAACGAGCGAGATTTACGAAATGCCACCGCTATGTTCTCCGACCAGCCATCTCCAAATAGAACTGGAGAATCAACCTGAAATAACAGGGGGTGTGTAGGGGGGGGGGGGACGCGTGGATGTTTTCCGCGGGAGACGGTAAGGATAATAATGCCACGGCTGGGAGCCGCGGACGTCGCGGGCCACACACTGGGAAACCTCTTTTGGGGGGAATTGGTCACGATCAGCCGTAATTTATTCGAAGAACGGGCGACGAATGAAATCGCCCAATTGAAATTTATTCGCGACGATTATTCATTTTAGAGAAGACGTTTGGATTCGTTGGGCTTTCTTTTTTATTTAGAGGAGAATGGTTGTTCATCCGTTATTCGTTATTCGTTATTCTTCATACCTCACTCCTCATTCCTTATTCCAAATCGACACTTTTAAACAGTGATGGGCAAAACCCTAGGCTTCGAATAAATCTGAAGTTTGCCGATATGTTTGTCTCGTTTCCTTCTTTCGAAAATATTCAAAAGAAGAAACGAGACAAACATACCAGCAAACTTCAGATTTATTCGAAATCTAGGGTTTCGCCCATCTCTGCTTTCAAATACCCTTTACAGTCCTATAGAATAAACATACACATGGTTATAGATCGACCAGGCATGGGTGATGTTTTATTCGAATAAAACTAATCAATTACAATTTATTCGTGTCGTTTATTCAATTTAGATATTTGTATTTATTTGGCGTAACACTTTTAAAGATGCTATAAAGCCATACAGAATAAATAATGGTACGATCATACATCATTACAGACATAGACAACGTTGCATTTGAATAATGTCTATGAATGAAACCAATCAATTTCAATTTATTCGTGTTGATTGTACGCTCGAAACATTAGCATTTGTTTGTTGCGAAATGAACCATTCCATAGAGCTCGTTTTCATTTTCAATTTCATCCATAGAGAAACCATTATCTATTGTTTATTCGTTATTCGAAATGGACCACTTTAATAACACCACACAGTTATATAAAATAAACACAGATATAACTCGTCCACGTTATACTGATAAGTAAAGAATAAACCCCTGAAGTCTAGATTCTTATTTCGTATACAAATGTCATAAATATGTAAATGGAAAGTATGATACAGCAGACTAAGTATAGCACGGCTGTTTTAATCGAACGATGATTTAGACGTCCACTTGCATCGCCCCATTGCATGCATGAACAGCCGTCTGACTACATACGGTCTGAGTAGTTACGTCCATTCATCGACAGACGAGTCTCAGACAGCCGCGCCAGTACTGTGATTCCCTAATTATTTTTGCCACAGTGTTAACAACTGCCACTCTTTGTATACCTATTTAAATCGTCTACCACAGTGTATATAATTAAATACTTTTGTTGAAATATATTCAGATATCACGAATTAAATAAAACTATTTGCATTTTGTAATCGTTAGACCGATCAGCGATTTACAGCGATATAATCTTGCTCGGCGTAGGCAGAAATTATTTCCTGCTCGAATAATTCTTTCAGCATAACGCGCGTTTGTTGTTATAGTGACTTCGACTGTAGCTAAAGTCTCTATTTTACGAATTTCGTTTCTTTCTTTAGAACGTCGGATATTTACTGTACCCTAATTTACGAAAACCGTGAAATCCGTGGAAAGATATTGTCTTGTTCCACGAAAATAAATCTTCATACACTCATTAACCTTGCGTTGGGCCTCCTATTCTTTAAAGTTGTTATTCTAAGCTGTTGCACACACTCTGCCATAATTTATCCCGGAGGGAAAATAAAAAGACGTGCTGACGGGATGCTGGAACACGAAGCAACGACTATTAATCGTGATCGAAGATCAACATTTCACGAATATTTCGCGTCCACTCGGAGAGTTTATTATCTATTTTTATGTTCTCTGAAAATGATACAAAGAAATCGACGTTACAAAATTTCAATTGAATTTATTCGATTCTATAGTTAAATTTGTATTTATTTACAGTTCGCTGTATTTACAGTATGAAAAATCTGTAACTATAGAAACCATATCGAATCCTTTAGGTTTCTTTCCGGAGACGCCTTGAAAATGGATAATTCCAAAGTATGCGAATTGTTGCAGTCGAACGGGGATGTTTCGGAGAGTTCGGATTGTTCAAGCAGTTTCTTGCGAAATGTCCAGGATAGTACGAAGTCTCGAGCATCTCGCGATTCAAATTCGATATTCCAAATATTCGCACACGCTCGGTTCTCACGCCTACGCCCGTATGTAACAGTTTCTATCTCGTCGGAGAGCACAAGGTGTCTTGAGATTTATTTCTGTCTCGCTTTATCCAAATTTACGTCACAACAATGTCTCAAGGGTATTTTAGATAAAACCAACGGTGAGCGGCTTCTAATTTACGAAATTAAAAATACTTTTCGCCAGGAACACAGACATTTGACACAAGAACACTTGTCACTAATTATTAGGCGTGGAGATCAATTATGTGCCTTGGACATTTTAAGTGAAAATATTTAATCGTCATTTTGTTATGTTAAAGCACCAACCTTGTGGACATTTCCTCAACTTGATGGACATTTCAATGGATCTACATGTATGCATAATTCTTGTTCTTCTAATAGATCGCAAGTATACTTGACAATTATTAGGTGTAGAAATTAATTATGTGGCTTGCATTGTTAAGTAAAAATATTTAGTCATTTGGTTAGGGTTAAGCACAAACCTTTTAGGTTCTCAACCTGATGGGCATTTCAATATTTCTAAATATATTAGCCAAAATTAAATTTTGTCGGACTTCCCTTCAAAATTAATCGATAAGTTTATTTTCGAAGGTACAGAATTAATTTCCGCATCTAATATTATACAATTTTGGAGTGCAACACAAATGATTCGACTCTCCCCCGGGACCACGAAACTAAAATATTCGAAATTGATTATTATCGGCTAAATATAACCAGGAAACGATTCTATTATTTTCCCTGTCGTCTACGCCTATGTGATCAAAAATGTAAGCATCGTAAATATTCCATCCACACACGGCTATCATTGAATTGGCAAACTTCTTCGACAGAAGCGGATTACCCGAGACCTTTAACGGCTTTTAAACGTATATAACGTCAGAGTATCGTTACGCGCGTCAGAACAGGTAGTTGCAATGACGCGCATGAGACGAGAAGAGACGAGATTTCTACGATCTCGACCTTGATCTCGAAAAATCTCGACACATCCATATCGATCTTGAATTTTCAACAATTTCGAACATATGATCTCGATCTCGATCTCGATCTCGATCTCGATCTCGATCTTGATCTCGACGAGATTTTGACAAGATTGGCAATACAAGATTTTCAAAGCCTCTGTCTGACTCTGTTAATCAATTATTTGAATTAAGAGGGATGAAGGTAAATGGAAATCACGACATGACGCGATCGTGTAACTGGACTTACAGAGTCAGTCCCGTTTCCTCCCGGTGGATAGTTGGAATAACTGAAAATTAATTTCTGACAATAGTTACATTAATTATTAACAATATTTGTTGAAGCAATGACCGAGAATATGACTTTGCTGTAATATTACACCGCCCGGACAGTGGTAAATGCTTTTTCTAAGAATGTTCAAAATCATTACTAACCAATAAGTAATCAGTTTTTGATTTCAGTCAGCAACTAATTACGTTTTTTTCAGTACCTTCGTATGTGGACGACTTAATAGTTTTCGAAATATTGGATCTCATAAGTTTTGTCCCGCTAGATCTCTGAAACATCACACTTGTTATAATATTAACAAAATTGTATGTGGCATCGTTTGTTAGCGCAGCAGTCACGGTGTCATATGTGCTGGCGATCGGCAATATGAAATAATCTTGATCTCGGCCAAATCTCGATATGCTGAATCTCGATCTCGATTTCGAATGTTACAAGTAATCTCGATTTTGAATCGCATCTCGAAATCGAGACGAGATCGAGACGAGATCGAGATTGATCTCGTCTCGTGCGCATCACTATGTAATTGTATCGCGCAATCGTCAGAAACGGACGAAAAGATTACGCGAATGATCGATCGCGATAACGATAATGACGTAGACGCGAGCGATTTCATACCTTGGACAATCGATAATCGTAAAATCCACGACCTCGAATTTCGAGTGGTTCCCACGAATCGGTGGACCGACTCCAATTCTCGTCGAAACATTCGAAACTCGCGTTAGAAACCAGTGGCGCGGCTGCTTGCGTAATTAGCAAACATTTCTGCGCTGCGATCCGGATGACGCACGATGCAGCATGACGATGAAAGATACGGATCGCGAACCTCTTGTCTAAAAATTCCTGAAATCGTTAGAGAAATGGACGAACGGAGCCAACGACGTGTTCATTGAGAGCGATGTAATTTTGGAGCGGATGTGTCCTTGTCTGATTCTTCTTCGTTCTGAAAAGGAAACGGAAAGAAATGATTAAATATAGAACTCCGAAAAAGAAAACAAATTAAAAATAAATTTAAAATAATTAACTACTTGATATCGTATCGTGACTAGTACGTTTCTAAGTCGCATTTAATAACATTTTAAACGAGCAAGCAGAGGTAAATTGTTGTGGAATCAGTCGTGAATAACACGAATTTGTTTCGTCGAGTTATAAATTCTCATCGGCTCGCTGGACTGCGGGCTAATTTTAATTAGTTGTTCATGCGGTGATTCCCAGATTCTAAAAAAACAGCGTGCGCTATTCGCGAGCGTCGAACGACCTGCACGAAACGTATCGTGGCGAGTCGGTGGACGAATTAGGAGAAAATTTCCCAGAATTTCACAAGCCTAATTGCTCAATCTTGAACTGTGACGTCAGACCATCTTCGTTGCTATTCGTGCACGATGGAACGCTTCTAAATAAGGAAGAATAAAGTCGTGGAAAAAAAGGTCGACGTTAGAGCCATTGTCGTTTGTTTGGAGCTGGTATTCTAACTCCTGTGCTAAACACACGTGATAATTAGTTGACACGTTAAAGTAAAGTCATAACGGTTTGCCGGCGCTGGACGCCAGTGGTTATGTTCAAAGGTGGGCAAAATTCTTGAACGATACAAATTTTAAATGAGGAACGAAAGATAAATTGCTGTGGAATTAGTCGTGAATAAAGTTCAATAGTCCAGAAAATGACTAATAATAATAATAGTTTTACCACGGTACGTGTTCTCTTGGAACGTATGACTAAGGAAAGATTAAACGTGTGGTTTTCCTTCATAAATAAATAATAAGTTCACGTCAAAAAGACGTAGAATTACTACACACCGTATAATAACATTCTCAAGATCTAAAAAAATAATCAACACATCATTTGAATAATAAATAAATAGAAACTCCATGGATACAGTTATTCCTCCAGTATGATGTGATTTTCATGTACCAACCAATGCATTAAAAATTGATTAATCCACTGTGTCATTTTCCATTCGCCACCACTACGAAAATTTCTTTCAACATCGCGTCGCACAATGTGGAAAAGCTTCCTGATTTGTGGTTGCCCGAGACGTAGTTCGCGTTTGTATTATGCATTAAACATAAACCTATTAAAAGAGCGAACCGACGAAACGGTGGAAGTTTCCTTTAATATCGTGTACGACAGAAAATACGCGAAAGGCACATTCGATCCGCGGTTTTTGAGACGCAGTGTACGTCTGTGTTCGTGGCGGTCGTACGATGAAAATCCATTTCAAGGTTTACGACGCGCTCTGGTCATCGAGGCTCGAGGAAAAAAAATGATCAAACAAACAGTCATTTCGCTGGGCACGTTCGGAGTTATTGGAACGATTAACGCATTCCTTACTCCATTCGCGGAGACACTGTTCGGATTAATCGAATCTGCTTGAATAAACCTTTAGATTCAACAACCGTAGACTTCGTACATTGTTTATCATATTGACATTAGTTTCGAAATTTTAGATTCGGAGTAAAACTTTATTCTTGGAAAATAAAAGGCATTTTGGCGCTGCTGTGTCAGGCAAATACAGATCAAAGGCGAATCGTATTCAAAGTTCACTCGAAGCCCATTATTCGACGTTGCACACGTTGATTCTCATTATCATAGATTCTGAAAATTGCACATTAGAAATTACAATCGCTCGTCTGGCGGTGTGCGTTATAATTGCTGATACGCCGGTTATAAATATTGAAACTAGACTCCTTCAGGGTCGCGTTGCACTGGCGGTTTTTAATGACGGAAGTATCGTCTTCTCGTTGTTGTTTTGTCTAAGATACGATTAATGATAACGTGGTTTCAGTTTCGGTATGCATGTATAGCGAAGTCGAGGAATAATACCCATACAACTTTTTGTTGTATTTTTATTTGATTATTTCGCGTAGGAAATACTGAAATTTCGAAAAAAAATGTTTGGTGTGATGATGTACTGTGCGGAGATGAGAAGTTGGACAGGAGGTCTGATTGGTCACAGTATAAATTCCTTGATTTCACTACCGAATTCTATATTATAATTTATACTGCACTCTAGAATTCTATAGCAATATAATCTAGGGGATTATTGTCTCAAACAGTTTATTTTTCAGAAATATTTGATTGAAAAATCGATATTTAGTGTACAAAAAAAAAAAACAATGGTGGTATGATGATGTACTGTGCGGAGATTAGAAGTTGGCTAGCACGTCTGATTGGTCACAGTATAATCTCTTTGCTTACACCATAGAATTATATATATGGTATAATTTGGACTGTGGAATTGTATAGTGTTGCATACTGCTGTACATTGTTGACTCAAGTAGTTTACTACTTAGAAATAATTGATTGAAAAGTCGATATCTATTAAAAAAAAAAAAAAGAATGTTTGATAATATACAATACTATACATAGTCGACTCAGTCTATTTGCTAACATTTTCTTTGCATCCAATCGAAAAAAAAGAACTGATGTCGGAGGAAGACTGCTAATGTTGTACTGTTCAACATTTCTTGTTCGACACTTTTACAATCCTCGAAGCAAGAGATACAACCTGTCCCAACCTCGTGTCGCATTCTGTGTAATGTTATGCACTCGATTATCTTTTTTACATTGAAGATACGTTCACCGAGGAATACTGTTGAAAGTGGCATATCGCTCGTGAAAAACAAAAACGTAAAACGCGTTTCGTACCGCGAAAAAGGCGAAATGAAATTATTTACGAAGAGAAAGATTCCAGCGAATCGTGTAAGAAAATTTTTGTAAAAAGTCGCGTATACGTTTTACGTGTGCGGGTTCTTAATTTATGGCTGTATTAACTGTACTAAACGACATAAAATGAATACTCCGATGTAGCCATAAATCGAGCTGCGCAGCCGATTTGTCATACGTTTCAAGGAAACGTATGATGCGTTCGGGGACGATGAAATGTTCGGGGACTTGACTTTCAATTTCGGTGGTAAAGTCTTCAAGGTACTGTTGCTAATAAATCCAGCTCGAAAGTTAAACGAAATAAATACTCGAAAAAATACGAAGAATCGTAAAAATTAGAAACTGTAATTTGACCTATCCACAGCTTTTGCTTCAGGAATTCTTTCTAATCGATTTTGTGGCAGTCGAAATGAAAAATAAACTGAAATTTAATTCCTTTTTTTTTTAAATGGGTCCTGAAAGGTGAGACTAGGACGATGAATCGCCGCTGGTCGTTCCATTCGGTCGCTTTACGGTATGGGAATATTAATCCGATCGATTTCGACGTTGCAGCGTGTGTGTACGTGTGCTGAATGAATTTGTGTAAAGGCTTGTAGCGTGACAGGCTCGTTCCTTGGGACTATTACTGTGCCGCGATCGTTACGACGTATGACATTATAGTGGTATCACGTGAGACCATTCGTGAAAAGATGCGATCTCGAGCACCGCGAGCGTGCACCGAGTTCGATCCACTCGGCGTTAAGGGGATTGCGCGATAGAGAAACCGAGACGAAACCTTTTTGTACCACGGGTACTTTGTTCAAAAAGGTTTCCTCGAGCGTGACGCCGATTTATTCGACTCGGTTTCCGGGTGCAACGTCTCCTGGAAGGCTAATCGTTCGACGATTGACGCGAAATTCGAGACTAAATGTGCGAGAAGATTTTTTTTCCCGAGAAACTACTCGTCGGTTTGGACTCGCGCTTTTTGCGGCGATTGATATACTTGTATAAACGATACGTGAATTTTTTGGTGTAATTTGGTGTAATAGTTGAGGGGTCATTAATAGTATCATGGCAGAGTGCATACAGTTGAAATTTCGTGACTCGAGATACGGTCGATATTGGGATTTTTTTTTTATGGAAAAGTGTGTGGTATATCAAATTGAAATTTGTTGCATATATTAGTATGCTTATTTAATCAATACATGAATTTTCTCATGTAATTTAATGTAGTAATAAACGATTCATTAATTACATCCTAGTACATTCCATACAGTTGAAATTCCTCGAGTCACGAAGTGGTCAATATTAGGATTTTATTTATAGAAAACTGTGTGTCATACCAAAATGAAATTTCGTGTGTGCATTATTATACTTATTTAGACAATACATGAATTTTCTTATGTAATTTAATGTAGTAATAAACGAGATTCATTGATTACATCCTGGTACATTCCATACAGTTGAAATTCCTCGAGTCGAGAAGTGGTCAATATTAGGATTTTATTTATAGAAAACTGTATACCATAGCAAAATGAAACTTTTCGCGTTGATTAGTGACCTTCACGAGGATATCGCGTGAATTTTTCCATGCAGGATATTTAAGGACGTCAGCTAGGAAAAAGAGTTTCGTGGAAAACTGTGTTAAAATTCGACACAAGAACACGCGATGGTTCCATTTGCGCAAGCAACATACATAGTTTAAAGTCAGCGATTAGTTTAACCACATCATGACCTTCGTGAACGCGATTAAGGATATAAGAAAATACACCGAGTCACCTCTACGTTAAACCTTTACGCAATCGTTTCGCGTGCCTCGATTTCAATTTTCACTTGCGAACAATGACTTTTCCTTTTTCTTTTTTCAAGCATCGATGATTATTCGAATTTTAATTCGATCATCGATCGGCAATGTCTGTAGCTTTCAGGAATTCTTTTGCAACACCTGAAGCTTCTAAAAACTATCAAAGTAGATCTACTTCAGGAGGATCGAGACTTTTGCAAGACTACGTTCAAAGAACTCGGTTTCGCTTTAATGCACATCCAGTCACATGATGCGTTCAACCTCATGCGTTTTTCTTTTCCCGAGCATGAAGTATTTACGCAAATAGAGAGCAGATAACGCAATTATGTAACCTCTATGAATTTTCGAAAGTAGCACGACTATTGCGCTAGTATGATTTTTTGTACTTTCCAAGCATTATACAGTAAGTATAATATTGTAGTTTCCTTAGAAGAAGAATTCAATCGTTTTCATCCCAGGAAGAAAATACGATGCATCTTCCCGTTGTTAATGGAAAGATTATCGAGATGACATTTTTCGCAAATAACAGTCAGTGTTCGAATTGTTTGTGAGGGATTGAAAAATTCATTTTTCCAGCAACGATTAATCTTCTGAAATGAATCGTCCGCTGGCGACCAATATCTGCGCTGTTAAAAAGGAATGCCCGCCGCGACAAAGGGGAGTAATGCTCTCAACAACAACAGGCTACTATTTTCAACGACTCGGATCT